CCTCTTGATCCAGTGCTGCCCGTCTCTGTGGCAGGTGTACCGGCAGGCAGCAGGATTTCAGGGCTCCTGGATTACTCTCACTTGTGGTGCCTGGTCCCAAAAGGGCCGTCTCTGGGCTTGCCCAACATCCGGGCAGCTTCTTTGCAATTTTCTAACAGGCACCGAATGCTGCGCTCAGATTCAGTACCCCTGGGCTCTTCTCCTGGCTCTGCCACTGACCTACAGGACGGACCTTGGACAAGTCATGGCGCAGGATTTCAGGGCTCCTGGATTACTCTCACTTGTGGTGCCTGGTCCCAAAAGGGCCGTCTCTGGGCTTGCCCAACATCCGGGCAGCTTCTTTGCAATTTTCTAACAGGCACCGAATGCTGCGCTCAGATTCAGTACCCCTGGGCTCTTCTCCTGGCTCTGCCACTGACCTACAGGACGGACCTTGGACAAGTCATGGCCCTCTGTTGTGCCTCAGTTTCCTCTCCCAGCCTTTGCCTGGCTTGTCTGCTTGGACTGAAAGTCTTGGGGGAGGAGGTAGGAACTCTCTTTTACTAGGTGCATGCACAGCCGTGTTCCCTGTGAGCTGGGCGGCCACTCGAGAGATTCCAATGCCACCCAGCTGATGAAGAGAGTGCCCAACGCTGGGTTTTGTGTGTCTACTGTGAGTGCACATCCGCACACATCTGGAAAAAATTATTCCACACGCCAATGGGAAAAAATCTGCAGCTGGAAGGAAAAGATTGGAGGGGACATGGACGTGCAGCACCTGGCGCCATGGAGACGAGCTGTGATCGTGGTTGAGAGTAAAGTGTGAAAAGCGGCCGTGCAGTGCTGATCGGGCAGAGGACACTAGGGCTTGTCTCCACGGGCAGGGTTAGCCAGCGACACCATTGAGTAGCCCTGTCAGACGCCGTCACCCGCACGCAGCAGTTTGAGTGCACACCACAGCTGACCCTGCTCTAGCTTTCCTCTAGCCTGCTCTCTTTGAAGAGGAGGGGCAGGATCGCGGGTGTAGAAACGTGGTGGCGGTGCACACACCGCTCAGAGCACAAGGAAAAGGAAGGACGGGAGTGAGCGAGGGCAGAGTTACGTGGCGGGTTTGTGGAACCCTTTCCTAGCCCGGTGTTGTGTTGCTTGCCATGTGCTCCCTGCTAGGCTTGCAGAATCCAGGGCATCAGGCCTGACAGCTGCAGGGTAACACGTGTGACTCCAGATTCCAGTAAACTGAGTTTTAAAGACACATTGGATTTTTTTTCATATTTCACCCCTATGGGGCAGAGTTAAGGTTATTTGGGTGCCTTTGATAACAGCACTGAGGAATAACCTCACATTTCGATGGGGCTTTCCCTCCCTAAGCAACTTTGCAAATTACATACCTCCAGAAGGCTTGCCCCACCCCGCCACTGCCGGCAGCTGCCTTTGCAACACAGCCACGCCGCAGCTTACCAGCACACGGCAACATAGGGGAGGAAGTGAAGAATGCTGCACCCCGACAAAACCGGAAGAGGAATTTAGAGAGGAGGGACTGGAATTCAGCCAAGACCCCAGGTTTAACATCCCCAGTGATACTCAAAGTGGGGTGGAGTCTCTAATGACCCCCCCAGAGGCCATAACCCAACCCTGCTCTTCTGTTTTACTTCTTCCCCCAGTGGGGTCAGTCCAGTGCCACACTGACTGAATTGCTCATGCCTTCTCTGTGGGGCTCATATGGGGTCCTTGAGAAACAGAGCTGACCCTGTGCAGCCCCTGAGAACAACCCCCCTTGTCCTCCAGCCTCCGTTATTTGGGAGTCTGCGTTCTTGCTACCTGATAATGACGCACTGGTTCTCTCCGTCGATCATCATGTTCCGGTACATGTTGTCGGTCAGAGCATAGATGTGGGGCGGATTTTCATACTGAGCCTAGAGGCCAACAAACAATGGGACTGATGGTTACTAACCACAGCACAGAGCCTGAGACACAGGCCAGTAAGCAGAGCTTTCCCTGGGAGGATAAGGGACAGACATCCTCCATCTCCCTTCTCCAGTTAGGCACCCAAACAACCTTAACTCTGCCCGATAGCAGTGGCAAGTGGTAACTATACAAGTGTGACAGTTGCATTTAAATGCTTGTGCTTCCAGATTATAGTCAACTGATTTTTAAAGACACATTGGAGTTTTTCAGATTTCCTCCCTACAGGGCAGAGTTAAGGTTATTTGGGTGTCTTACCCATGAATTTCCCTCTCTTAATAGCTTTGGGTTTCTTTTAAGTCTAATCTTAGCTTCTGAAGTTGGTTTTTGGAATAAATGCAAGTAAGTCTAATCTTAGCTCTGAAGTCCCTGGGCTTCTGAAGTTGGTTTTTGGAATAAATGCAACTTCTCAGTAATGTTTTTTACCCAAAGTTCATAGAATCATAGAGCTGGAAGAAACCTCCAGAGGTCATCAAGTCCAGCCCCCTGCCCAAGGCAGGACCAATCCCAACTAAATCAACCCGGCCAGGGCTTTGTCAAACCGAGACTCAAAAACCTCTAGGGATGGAGATTCCACCACCTCCTCGGTAACAGTAGCAGTAATATTGATTGATGAACAACAATAAAATGCTCCTTTCAGAGCTTTATAAGCTGACCTCTTGGTGATTTCCATCCGCTTTGGAAGCCCCTTTCAGGAAGTTGCAGGCTGCTCTCAACTCCCCCCTTACCCTTCTCTTCTGCAGACTAAACAAACCCAAATCCCTCGGGATGTGTCTACACTTGCAGCCTAATTCGAACTAGGGCTGCAAATGTAGGCATTCGGAATTGCAAATCAAGCCCTGGATTTAAATATCCCGCGCTTGATTTGCATCTTCCCAGCCGGGCGCCATTTTTGACATTTACAAGCCTGGAATAACTTCCTGCGTCTACACGCGGCAGTGAAACGGGCGTTTGAAATAAAGCCCTATTTCGAACTACTTGTTAAACCTCATTGCAGGAAATAGTGCTTTATTTCGAACGGCCGTTTCACTGCCACGTGTAGATGTGGGCAGGCCCGCGTGTAGACGCAGGAAGTTATTCCAGGCTTGTAAATGTCAAAAATGGCGCCCGGCTGGGAAGATGCAAATCAAGCGCGGGATAGTTAAATCCCAGGCTTGATTTGCAATTCCGAACGCCTCCATTTGCAGCCCTAGTTCGAATTAGGCTGCAAGTGTAGACATGCCCTCAGCCTCTCCTCGTAGGTCATGTGCTCCAGCCCCCTTATCATTTTTGTTTCCCTCCACTGGACCCTCTCCAGTGCGTCCGCATCCTTTCTATAGTGGGGGCCCAGAGCCGGACACAATACTTGGACTTGCAAGTTTAACGCAGGGTTTGTTCAGAAAGAAGTACGGCAGTTACCTCTGCGGCCCTCGAGCTGGCGAGAAGACGGATGCCTAGGGAGCTGCCCATAGTCACCCAGCAGATCATGGAGCAAGTGGGGACCAGACCCTGGCCTCCTGCCGCCCTGCCCGAGGTCTCAGCTAACCTAACGCGGGGCCCTGCCAGCTAGAAACGTGTGCGCGGCTGGCACATCACCAAAGGTACAACCAGAGTCGCCGCCTCACCGCTCCTTGGTACAGCTCGATCTCCCGGTCCGTGAAGTAAGGCATCTGCTTGAAGGGGTTGACTGAGATGAGAACGGAGCCGATGTAGGTCTGAGCGGCTGGTTAAGGGCGTCTGCCTCCTTGTGTTTCTCTGTGGGAGCCTGCTGAGGAGGCTGCGCTGCCCCCACATCCCATGCAC